TTTTTTTTTTTTTTTGCGGAACCAGGGATTGAACTCAGGCCCTTGCGCTTGCCAGGGAAGCGCTTACTCCACTGAGCCATCTCCCCGGCCCCTATCGATGTCTTCTTTAGAAGCAGTTACTAATTCTTTTACTGCAGAGTGTTTTTCAGATTGGGTTTTCTACCTATATTTCTGTATTTGATTCTTTACTTCAGATGCTATAAGTTCATAGAATTGTTTTTTTTTTTAATTCAGAAAATAATTCCACTCTGAGTTCCTCTATAACTTTCTGCTCTTGCTTATTTACTTTTGACACTGTTAATTCATACATTTCAGCTGAGCTAGTGTCCTCTGCGCATGTTCTGGTTGGGCATTGGGTTTCCTCCATATGTTTCTGCATTTGATTCTTTATTTCGGATGCTATTAATTCGGGGATTTCTTTTTTTATTTCCAATCTGAGTTCCTCTATACCTTTCTGCAGGTTTTTTTTTTCTTTTCCAGAAGCTGTTGATTCATTGGTTTCAGCTGTGTGATTCCCAATTTGTTCTGTGTTAGTGTCCTCTGCACTTGTTATGGGTGGGCTTGGGATCTGGGATTGTATTTTGCTTCTTCTCATTGTCATTTTGTATAGCACTGTCTTTTGACCTTTGTTGTAGAGCTTTGGTGCAGTTGTAGCCTTAGCATCTACTGAAATTCAGGTGCAGATCTACAAAGTTTGAATTTATCTAGCCGTGCCTGGCTTGGGTCTGGCTGCTGTGCTCAGCTCCTTCCTGCTCCCGCCCTTGGGAGTGAACCTGTTGTGCCCCTCTGGCAAGATGTTCTGCTCCTGGACTAGCTGGGTGGTTCTGTCCCCTCCTCTCTCTGCAGGGACTACAGCTGCAGAGTTTCACCCCAGGCTTGTGTACCAGGCCTGAGGTGAGTCTGAAGGGGACAAGGTGAAGTAGCGGGGAGAGGATGCTCTCCCACACAGTGCACCTGGGCTAGGGCTGGATCTGGGGGTTCCAAGAATGCAGCAGAAGTTCTCACTCACTGGACGGGAGTGGAGGGGACTGCAGAGTGGTGGTGGTGGGGTCCTAAGGGGGTAGAAGAGGGTTTTACCCACGCTGCGCCTGGGCTTGAACCAGACCAGTCCCACTGGCTCAGGGTCGCTGGAAGCTCTCCCCCACACTCTTTGGGCCTGGGCTAGGGCTAAATGGGGGGGTCCTGAGAACATGGCAGAAGTTCTCACTCACTGGGCGGGAGTCGGGAGGGACTGTGGAGTGATAGGAGGGGTCCCAAGGGGGTGGAAGAGGGTCTCACCCACGCTGCGCCTGGGTTTGGACTGGACCGGTCCCACCAGTGCAGGGTAGCTTGAAGCTCTCCCACACACTCCTTATTGGGCATTTTAAGATGTGAAATTGTTTTGCATTTATTTTGGGTTATCCTTTTTATTTCTCATAAGCATCCTAGAATTGTAGTTTGTCCTGAGTCTGCTTTTTCTTTTTTTTTCACTAGTGATCTCCCTTTAATATCTGTTTCTGCAATTCATTTGCCTCTTGATTGCTAATCTTAAAGTCATCTAGTTGTTGCTAAAATATTATACCTCTGGCCAACTGTTTAAAGGTGTGTTTAGAGTTATTATATGTATCTTTTTAAAAAATAACAGATTTACTGAGATAATTTATTTTCCATACAGCTTATCCTCTTAAAGTATAAAATTAGGCATATAACTTTCTTCTGATTACTTATTAAAAGATGAATGATGGGGCTGGTGAGATGGCTCAGTGGTCTAAAGCACCTACCTAGAACAAGCTTAACAAAGCACAGGGACTGCGGTTCAATCCCCCAGCACCACATGCCAGCCAGCCCCGCCCCCTGGTGGTCTGAGCTGGCCACACACACACACACACACATAAATAAAATTTTTTTTTAAAAAAAGATGAATGATGTTTTTAAAATTATTTATTTACTGATTTATTTGGTACAAGGTCTTTCTTTGCAGCTCAAACTTATAGTGATCCTCCTGCCTCTGCCTCCCCAGTGCTGAGATTACAGGCATGTGGCTCCATGTCTGGTTTTGGTGCCTGGCTTGGCGCCTGGGTCCGGGGGCCAGTGTAGCATGTGGTACCGGGGATTGAACCTGGATCCTTGTGCTTGCCAGACAGGTGCTTAGACACTGAGCTATCTCCCTAGCCTAGTGATCTGGTTTTGAGGAACCTGAATTTTTACAGCAACTGTAATGCAAGACAACGTAGGTATAAATCAATCTGTAGATCCCCGGTTTTATATCTTATTAGATCTGGGGCATAAACTACAGTATATGCCTTTTTATTGATAATTTTTTGCCTTTAATTCTTTGTTTTAAATATATAGGCACAAGTTCTTCAACCAAGCGGAGCACTTCTGCAGGTAATAAAGAATCCAGTTCTACTAGAGAAAGATTACGTGAACGTACTCGAATAAACCAGAGCAAAAAACTACCTTCTGCAGGTCAGGGAGCCAATGAGGTGGCATTGGCTAAACGTTCCCGCAGTCGCACTGCTATGGAATGTGATGTTCGTATGAGCAAGTCTAAATCGGACAATCAGATCAGTGACAAAGCTGCTTTAGAAGCTAAAGTGAAAGATCTTCTCACACTGGCAAAAACCAAAGATGTGGAAATTTTACATTTGAGGAATGAACTCCGAGACATGCGTGCTCAGCTGGGCATTAATGAAGATCACTCTGAGGGTGATGAAAAGTCTGAAGAGAAGGAAACCATTGTTGTTCATCATCCAACTGATGTTGAGTCCACTTTATTGCAGTTGCAAGAACAGAATACTGCCATCCGTGAAGAACTGAACCAGTTAAAAAATGAAAACAGAATGTTAAAGGACAGGTTGAATGCCCTGGGCTTTTCTTTAGAGCAAAGGCTAGACAATTCTGAAAAACTGTTTGGCTACCAGTCCCTAAGCCCAGAAATTGCCCCTGGTAACCAGAGTGATGGGGGAGGAACTTTGACGTCTTCAGTGGAAGGCTCAGCACCTGGGTCGGTGGAGGATCTCTTGAGTCAGGATGAAAATACATTGATGGACCATCAGCATAGTAACTCGATGGACAACCTAGACAGCGAGTGCAGTGAGGTGTACCAGCCCCTCACCTCAAGTGACGATGCTCTTGATGCACCATCATCTTCAGAGTCAGAGGGCATTCCAAGCATAGAGCGCTCCCGTAAAGGGAGTAGTGGAAACGCGAGTGAAGTGTCTGTTGCCTGCTTGACAGAACGGATACACCAGATGGAAGAGAACCAGCACAGTACAAGTGAGGAACTTCAGGCAACTCTACAGGAATTAGCTGATTTGCAGCAGATTACCCAAGAATTGAATAGTGAAAATGAAAGGCTTGGAGAAGAGAAAGTCATCCTGATGGAGTCCTTGTGTCAACAAAGTGATAAGTTGGAACACTTTAGCCGACAGATTGAATATTTTCATTCCCTTCTAGATGAACATCATATTTCTTATGTTATAGATGAAGATGTAAAAAGTGGACGCTACATGGAATTAGAGCAACGTTACATGGACTTAGCTGAGAATGCCCGTTTTGAGCGAGAGCAGCTTCTTGGTGTCCAACAGCATTTAAGCAATACTTTGAAAATGGCAGAACAAGACAATAAGGAAGCTCAAGAAATGATCGGTGCACTCAAAGAACGCAGTCACCACATGGAACGAATTATTGAGTCTGAGCAGAAGGGCAAAGCAGCCCTGGCAGCCACCTTAGAGGAGTACAAAGCCACAGTATCCAGCGATCAGATAGAGATGAATCGCTTGAAGGCCCAGCTGGAAAATGAAAAGCAGAAAGTGGCTGAACTGTATTCTATCCATAACTCTGGAGACAAATCTGATATTCAGGATCTCTTGGAGAGTGTTAGGCTGGACAAAGAAAAGGCAGAGACTTTGGCTAGTAGCCTGCAGGAAGATCTGGCTCACACCCGAAATGATGCCAATCGATTGCAGGACACCATTGCCAAGGTATTGTTTAAATAAATAAATGTTCTGAAAAAGCATTGTGTACCTTTTGTACACAACATACTTTTGAGAGCCAAGAGCACTTGTTTAATGTCTCATTAGCATTTATTTAAGTTAATGTTTTTTAAAGCCTAAGAATAACTTTGTTTTGCTGATAAAATGAAAAGTAGTCTTATAATGTCACTTCCACTGCCTGTTTTCTTGCCTATGAAAGGATTGGACTTGTGTTAAACCTAACCTCAGAATTTGTACCTCATTATGGGTATACCTGTGGGATATCATGGAATTTTATATCCACATCTCTAGCATACACTGCCATGAGATAACTAAAGAACTGATATTTCAGTCTGTAGTATCAGTAGTGTCTGCCACCTCCTATCCTGCACCAGTTGTAGTTTTTCAGATAGTCTTATTAAATCCCCAGTGTGCTGTGCCAGCCCTGCCCCCAGGACACACTGACATGTGATCGAGACTGTATGTGGTGGCACATGCCTGTAATCCCAGTGCTTGGGAGGCTGAAAACAAGAGGATCACTATGAGTCTGGGTCTGTGTAATGAGGCCCTATAGACCCCGTATTAAATACATTTTTTTAAAAAAAGTAGTTTTGGAGTATAGGGGCTCCTGTATCTTGGAGATCCAGGATTTATTGCTGGTAAATACCTTAGAGTATTTCCTCAGCCCTCCTGTTTTATGGACATTCAGCTTAATAGTGAGGACCCAGAACTATTGCTCTAGGTTGTTGGCTTTCTGGACAGGGTTCTGCATCTTTCTGATGGAAGGATTGGAAGTTTGTTTGTGTTTTATCTAGTTGTTTTCCGCACTATTTATTTTTAATGTTAGTACAGTAATCTTTTTCTCTCCATGAAGAGTATATTCTTTCATTAGGTTTCATACATTTTAAATTTCGACTTTCAATAATAAAATTCAGTAAATTCGATTCCTTAATCATGAAATTTTCTGTACACATTATTTACATGTTGCCAAAGTCTACAGCCATATAAAACATCACAAGGGTCTGAGTCTACACATGAGTCAATCACACAGGAGGAGGGAGCTGATTAAGGTACATTCAAAAATTAAATTATAGATATGCACATTGTATTTAGCACTGTTGATTAATATTAACCATCTGCCCAGAGACAGGCATTCTTCAGCCAGAATTTGTTGTTTATATTAAAATCCTTTCAACTTTGCAACAGTAATCCATTAGTTAAAGCAAGCCCCAACTAGAACTAGGAATAGAATTCACATCCTCCCTTCTTGCTCTGCTCTACACTGCCATCCACACACTAGGCTTGATTTAGTAATTTCTCCATTGTAGGGAGTATTGGAACAGTTTAAAGACAACACCTTTGAAACACGTAAAGATATACACTTTTCTTTAAAAGGATTAGTTCTGAAGAGTGCAGAGGGAGTCCTGATGACAGAGAAATTATGAGATTTGTGCCAGGAATTGCAGAACAAGCAGTGTTGTTCAGATCATGGACTGTACTAGTAAGAGCACTGTGGAAGGTTTTGGAAGGCTCTGCAGGAACTTGTCTGAAGGGGCACTTCTTAAGAGTACAACAGAAAAATATGGAATGCTTCATGAATTTGTGTGTCATGCTTGCGCAGGGGCCATCTTCTCTGTATCATTCTAATTTTAGTATATGTGCTGCCAAAGTGAGCAGAGTACAGTGATCTTTAAAGGAAGAAATATTAGTACCTTTGGCTAAAACTCAAGTAATTAACTTTTTTAGTGATCACTTTTAGAGATACAGTTTACGGTGTGTTATTTCTTTTTTAAAAATTATTATTAAGTTTAGGGGCCAGGGAGATGGCTCAGTGGAATAAGCACTTCCTTAAAAATTATTAAGTTTTTTTTTTTTTTCTTTTCAAAGTTTTATTGATAAACATATAGCAATGAGACAGTTTCAAATCAAATCGAAAGTACAGTTTCAACA